ACCGAGGGAAAATTCGTTGTCGGTTATCGAATCGCCCGTGGTGCGTGACCAGTCAGATTATTACCTTTATGAAGTTGAGACTTCTAAACGACTCTTGTGTTAGCTCAAATTTTACACTGACTCCTTTCGATGCTCTATTGGTTTGTTTCCAGTACTCCGATATCACTTTTCTAGGAAGCGCGTTGCAGCTGCTGCCTTCCAAGTCGATACTTATAGGTACTCTGATGACCTAGGCTCAAAACGTTGAAGCGAAACAACGTGGCCTTTGGATTTCACCTATTAGAATCTTAGCATGATAGAATATTGTCAATGAAGGCCATTTTAAAACACATGTTTCTCGATTGTGGTGCGATATGCTTTTTCAGTCTAGACTACGGTTCATCCTCCAGTGGAGGCTTTGTCGATTCCGTAACGAACCGAATCTGAAACATATAAACATAAAGCGTTGCGCGCTATCAACACGGCACTTTGCTCTCGGTTCCATATGGGTGTGCCATCGTTAGTTCGTGATAGAGGTAATAAGCATTTAGCCTTGAAACTGCAAACTAAGACACGTACACCCCGGCAATTAACGGACGATTACCTTTACCTGGGAAATGCATGCAAACACAAGGCCTATCGTGAGAAATTAAACCGGGAGTGGACAACACCGGACAATTACATTCATAGCTATTGTGCTGTGGAACTCGTGACCTCTAGAGGGTAACCACTATTCGCTGCATGGTCGGTATTCTGCTTGGCAGTGGAGGATAGATCGCACCATATCCCAGTTAGCTTGTAAGTTTTGACGGTATGCCACGGCCTGCCGTTGCACAATGGCTAAAGCTGCTAGCCGTCATAGGTTCTGTTCGTTGCAATGGACTGAGGGAGTTCATACCACTGACGAGCCGCAATAGGACGAAGAACTCGTCTGGTGATTTTCCGGTTTGGTAGTTTGATTATCGGGCTTGTGGGTTGCTAAGACGAAGCAAACAGGATTTTATCCGAATCAGTAATACTACTTAGTGCTTAATGATTAGTGCGTATTTATTGTGAGCCCCGGTCGAGTTCGCTTAGACTTGATCCAAAGTAGTGATGCAAATCTGGCCAATTTAGTCAAGCAGTAATGTGTTCAAGGCGATACAGATCTTTCCATCTGATTTATACCGTGATTCTCCGAAGACTTCCTTGCCCAGTACTTTGAACCTAAGTTTTAAGTGTCATGTCCCAAATCAAGGTATGTAACCACATTAGCTGATGATGTTTGTAACTACATTCTTTCGGTTTTGTTGACTCGGAATCGTGAAACACGTGTAAATCAACTGATTTGAAAGGGATAAAGGCAGTCATTCAATGTCTCGCGGGCCAATTGTGACCACCTGACCCGAGTGCAGCTGCAGTGAAATGGCAGCTTGATCCAACGCTTCCGTAACTCGAAGGCTGTTGACCCGTGGGGATCATAAGAAGCCTATATTGGAGTTAATGACGATGTCGGATAAATATGTAGATCAATGGTTTCAGTGTTAATAACAAGCATACCAAACCTTTGTCAGTCGAAATTGGTCGAATGAACGTATGCCATCAGGCTACTTAAAGCACATATTATATAGCATATATAAAAGTAGATCCTTCCACATGTGCACATAATTTACACCATAAAATTTTATTATACAGAGCTAAGCGATGAGGAGAGTAAGTCAGTATTCGGGCGAATATATAACCGTTGCTTTAATCTCACTTAGCCCGTTAAATCGATGCAATATCCACCTCGTAAATGTTAATCCCAACGCTAATTAATGCCTCCAGTCTCACCGCAGTTCTTGCATGTTTTTAATCGCCGCGTGTATTTTCCATTGTTTTTTCCTCCAGAGGAATTAAAGAGTACGTTCTACAATGTAACCCCTTCTTGCATCTTGAGTCCAACTCGTTTTCACCTTCACTTTAAATCATCCACTCTAAATCTACTCTTTGCGCCAATCATGATCAACAGCAGTTCACCAGCCATTTGAACTGATGCTTCGCTGCCATACAACCATGAGGACTTATGGAATAAAGAATAAGAAGGGAGAGAGAACGGGAACTTACCTTAAAACCTTAATGCCCTTAAGCAAACATTCAGGGTCAAGGCGCCTATACATTGTGTAGACAACATACCGTCACAAACCGCTGGCTGTCGTGCAAAGGCAGCTTCGGCGAGACAGCTTCCTTGCGGCTTTCACTGCCCCGCGTCTTAATCAGCCATTACCCCACAGACAACACAGCACCAAGCACCCTTTAAACAGGTAATCCGATTAGGAGTAGGCAGCAGACGCGCCACTGGTGTCTACTGCGAGCCATATTCTGTAAAGTCTCCAGCCAAGCACAAGGCGAGTCACGTGGACTCCAGCTCGGAAGGCGAGACGGACCAACGGTACCCAGTTTGGTCGTCAGTGACTTCATTTTCCGTTGCCAAGTTAACTTCTGTGCACCTCGAACCTTGCGCCACTCTACACCTGGTAGACTGAACAAGACCGTCCTAGGTAAGCGGTGACCAGGCACGTGCCCGAGCCAAAGCAACTTATTCAGTGCTATCTGTTGTTCTAGGGTGCTAGCATGATTACCACTACCTAGTACTCGCCTACGCACGCCCTCGTTGCGGGCACCCTGGTGCCATCTGACACCAGCAATGCGTCGCAGACAAGGATGATCTAAGACTTGGAGGCGCCTCAGATCTTCAGACCGAAGGGGCCAAATCTCACCACCATAGAGCAGAACGGCCCTCACTGTGGCCTTGTATACACTGCCTTTCGGACGAAGGGAAACTCCCAGCTGTCGCCAACGATGCCGCAGGTTCAAGTAGGCAGCTTTGGCCTTTGCAATGCGTGAGCTGACGTCAGTTTCTACGCGTCCATCATTGCTGATGCAGCTGCCAAGATAAGTGAAATGATCAACCACCTCGAGTTCCTCCTTAGCAAGCGTCAAGAAGTCATCAAGTCGCTGGTGATCTTGCAGCAATACTGCACTTTGAAGGTGTGAAGTGCATTCAAAATAATGGGACCACTCTGGACAGGCTATCCAGGGTTTATTGGGCCGCCCCAACATTGTCGAAAAGCAAGACGATATCGTCCGCATAATCTAGATCAACTAACCTTTCACCAGGCAGCACTTCAACACCTACATCGTGAGCTTCCGCAAGGGACACTCCACGATAGAATCCATGACGAAATTGCGCCAATAATACTCTTTGCAGGCGAATTATATTCTCAGTTGCGTGTGCTTCAATCAGGCAGTGAAGAAAAGTTCACAGAACGAATCTGAAAGCAATACAATGTTTGCCTGCAAATATTTACCTAGTGTATGCAGCGACACCGAAATAATTCTGAGAAGAAATAGCTTTAAGGAGACCTATAAATTCAGTTTGGACCATTGAGTTCACAACGCATAAGCCATGGGTGCTTACGTAGATCCCACTCGCTACTGGGTAAGACGTGGCACGTGGATATTGTCAGAGGATTGCACAATTCTGTAGTTTAGGAAAGACATCTCGCGCGTTATCAAAGGCGACTGAAGTGCATGTAGCCTCTAGTACACAGTCGATCGTAACTTTATTAATTATTCTACTTAAATAATGCCAAGCTTTTCTTGCCGTTGTTTTCGACATCAATGTTGTTTATATCTGAATGCCGTTGCATTGCGACATTCCGCATAACACTGCTTAACGGCAAACCGCACGATTCTAAACTAACTTTATTTTCTCTTTTCTTTTCGTGAACGCACAGGCAAAGTAGAAAGTGAGTGACAATCTGATACCTAACGTTCATTTCACTCAAACTTCTGAAATGCGAGATGAAGGCGCTCAGATACGTGCAGACCAACTGCAGCAAGTATGTAACGCGCATGCAATATCTACCGCATTAATGGTCGGGGTTAGTACATCTAAACGGAGGCAGCGTGCATACCAGGTCTATACAATTTATACGTCGCCTACTCGATATTAACAATTCGTGGCCACGTTGATGGCTCACCAGGCTGACTTCGCTGTGGCACACAAGGCCGCTTGTGCTCTTCTTCGACGGGTCAGGCAGTCTCCTGATTTGGTGCAATGCCACTAGCTCAGCCGCGTAATTGCACTTCCTGATAGATTGACGAAGACGTTGCCGACGCCTTCTGTCCACTTAGTCCCCTTTAAACGGCAGTGTAATAAATACCTATTTCTTTGGAACATCTGTTGTTAGTTTATCTTTCTGTTGTAAGCTTACGTACTGCACTATAAGTCGCTTGGGATATCCATTTTTTGTAGTGTCAAGGTGACGCGTTCCAGTTCAAATTCTGTAGTCTCCGGAGAGCAAATTTGCCGAACTAGCAAAAGGCTTACTGACTAAAGCTCGCTTTTAGTTCATAGGGCAGAACGTACTAAAGTTCAAGTACGATCCCGTCCATGTATTTTTTCTATACACAGACCGAACGAGTGTACCGTCTAGGTTTCTCTGTAAGTTAACATCCAAGGAATGGAAGGATCCATCTGATTCATTTTCCATCGTGCATATGATCGCGGGATGGCACTTATTCATCATTTCCAGTAGGTATGCCGCATGCTGAGGAATGTCAACAACCGCGTTGTGTCGTCCATATACCGGCCATAAAAGTGTACATTCTGTATATAAGCATGTAGTACGATGTTTTCCAAGTAGCCCATAAAGATATTAGCCAAAAATTGGCCTAATGGACTGCCCATAGTCACGCCGTCGATTTCTCGATACAGGGTTCCATTGAATCGGAACTGAGTCTCCTTACTGTATATACAGTCTGTTGGATTCCATCTAAGCATGCTCCAAATCCCTACCTATTCGCTGCCCCGGACTGCCATCAGCTGGTATTCTTACAGCTTGATTGCTTGGTCTACTGAGCATTTTGCTTGAAATCGCGTGTGACTGAATTGGGTAGTCGGCTGTGAACCGGTTTGACTTTTGTTAATTGTGCTGGCGTTTGGTCTTGTTTGGGCCCGGTTATAGTTTGGGAACAGAACTACTTTATATTTTGTGATGGACAATGTCAAGGTCAGTATACAATTTGTTACCCTAAGCCTTCGTAACAATAGCACCGTTATGGATTTCTGGCTTTGACCTTTAAATCGACCCGGGATTCTTACGTGTTGCTTGAATCCACGGCCGGTTTGACGGTAACAGTGCTTGAAGATCCAGGATTTCCATTTGTGTTTCCAAGTATTCACAAAAGGTGGCCATCGGTTTCGTCGAACTAGCTTTGTCTTCGGCTTATTTGATACAGCCTCATTATGAATCAATCAGCCGTTGGGTTCACGTCCAGTGTGGTAGAGTGCGCGAATGTAAGTCTTCTGACAGTATCCATCGGCTAACCAAAGAAGTTAGTTCTCATTTCGATCTGAACTTTAGGCAACAATTACTACTGAGTTATTTATGACTGCCTTGGTTCACCCTTTTGCTCTGTGTTCTTTGGGGTCAACTGGTTTTGCTTTTATTGGAATTCCTTACATTATGGCGTATTCTCACGAGTCCCAATTACCCACTGAGGAAGCTGGCCTTTACACGGTGGAATTCGCGTTTGGCCCCAACTCCCTGGTTAAACGTCTGCGTTTGGAATCAATGGATTTACCTGACGAAGCGTCGAAACTTCTCCTTACTCGTGAACTATTTCGTCGGAGAGCCACATGCATTGATGGCTCTGGACTGTTTTGTTCCTCAAGAGCACGGACCGTAATCACAGTTGGGGAAATAATTGGCGACTTTTACGGTGTTTATCAGACTGCGTACATTTTGAATAAAACCTTCAAACTGCGTATCCATAGGTGATCACCATCGGGTCTTCTTTTGTACACCGGATTCGCATTCCTCAAACTTCTGTGTCAATAGCAGCTTGCTCTAGCAGTTCGCCGGACATCTGTTCCACTGTGAACAGATTGGCAGTCAATTTGAACTCCACGTTTTTGCCTGATGGATTGCTTTATTATGATTAGCACATTCGATGGAACACCTTTTGGTACGATCACCCTGTGGAGTTTCATTTAAAGAAGTATAAGAATTATCCCGATACCGCTTTTTTTACTGCAAACCAAGCAGTCCTAGAAGACATGGGCCTATCAAATAAACGACGGTTGATGTTGGGTTGTCCAAAACTATCTATGGCTCGCAACTTGGAAAAAGTTACTATTTTCCTGTCCTTTTGAATGCATCAGAATTCCAGATACGTAACCAAACTTCTTCGGTTCGCTCTGGTCGATTCACATATTTCACCAATCCACGCATTAGTTCACGTGGTACGGTGATGGGGATTGATTCAGTGTTAGTCTCACAGAAATTTCGGAACTGGGTTTGGTACCCTCAGTTGTTGTTTGGTTTTTAAGTCTGTGCTCTGTTCCAGCCATGAACCGCTATGCATGCGCTATGCATGGACAGCAGCGGCAGCAACAGCAGCAGCAGTAGCCAACAGCGGGCCTTGTATCCGGCGTGTACAGACCGACGGCCTCGAATACGGATGTGAGGCATACTCTACCCGAAGTGACATCAGAGCCAGCTGTCAACTCTACTACCACTATGGTTACCAAGGGACCCCAACAGTGCCAGCGACAACAACAAGATAATCACGCACTTTTTGCTTTCCATAGCCAAAGGTCCATAACAGAATCGCTTGCTCTCAGTTGTGTGATTAATGATGACATTGCAGGGACCACCGTAGGTGAATCTGATCCTGTCACATGTGAGATTGATGAGCTTAACAGTGTTTTGGGGGACGGCGTTCTACTTCACCCACGGCCTTATAATGCCTTTACTATTGTCCTTGTTTAATTTTTTCTGTTGTGGATTGCGGTTTACCTTTGGGCTTCACTGATAATGACGCCGCGAGGCGTTTGGACTCCTCACTTTGTACTCCCGTGACTGATCGTTGGTCCGATTCCTTATTGTTTTTGACTTTCTCCGTCGGTCCATCGAACAATAAGCTTGTCACATCTGCAGTCTGTGCTACTTTTGCGGATGTCACCCGTCCTTCCAGGCTTTGTTTTGTTCATTTTGGCGCTGCTTCTTAGTAATTTTAACCGGGGAACATTCAAGAAATGCGAAATTTCTGGAAGGACATTGGTGGGAGAGTGTAACCGACAAATCAGTCTGTTGGGTTCCACCTAAGCATGCTCTAAAACCCTACACATTCGCTGCGCGGACTGCCATCAGCTGATATTCTTACAGCTTGATTGCTTGGCCTATTGATCGTTTTGCTTGGATCGCGTCTGACTGTATTGCGTAGTCGGCTATGTAACCGGTTGGACTTTTGTTAATTGTGCTGGCATTTGGTCTTGTTTGGACCTGGTTATACTTTGGGAACAGAACTATTTTATATTTTGTGGTGGACAGTGTCAAGGTCAGTATATACCTTATTACTCTAACCCTTCATAACCATAGCACCGCAGTGGATTTCCGGCTTTGACTTTGAGTTGGCCCGTTATGTAAATCCACAGCCGAATTCATCGCAACAACCTGTAATACCAGGCCACTTACGGACGAGTACCTTTACTTGAGAAATGCAAGCAAAAACGAGGCCTAGTGTGAGGAATTGAACTGGGCGTGGACAACACCGGACAATTATCTTAATGAAAGACATTCATCATCGCAATCTTCAAATGCAGTTGTACATAGCTACTGTGTTGTGGAAGTCGTGACCTCTAGAGGGCAACCACTATTCGCTGCATGGTCGGTATTCTGCTTGGCAGTGGATGATAGATCGCACCATATCCCAGTTAGCTTGTAAATTGTGACGGTATGCCACGGCCTGCCGTTGCACAATGGCTAAAGCTGCTAGCCGTCATAAGTTCTGTTCGTTACAATGGACTGAGGGAGTTCGTACCCCTGTTGAGCCGCAATAGGACGAAGAACTCGTCTGGTGATTTTCCGGATTGGTAGTTGGATTATCGTGCTTGTGGGTTACTAAGACGAAGCAAACAGGATTTTATCCCAATCAATAATACTACTTAATGGTTAATGATTGGTGGTTATTCATTTTGAGCTCCGGTCAAGTTCGCTTCCATTTACTCTAAAACACTCACGCCAATTTGGCCAGTATATCCGGGATATTAGTCAAACAGTAGTGAGTTCATAGCGGCAACAATGTTTTTATCTAATTTATACCGTGATTCTCCGAATACTTCCTTGTCCCGTACTTTACACCTAGATTTTGACTGTGATGTTCCAATTTAAGGCGTTTAATCTTATTGGCTGATGCTGCTTCCTAACCACATACTTTTGATTTCGTTGACTCACCAATCGAGAAACACAAACAAATCAACTGGTATTAAAGGGATAAAGGCAGTCATTCAATGTCTCGCGGGCCAATTGTGACCATCTGACCCGAGCCCAGCTGCAGTGAAATGGCACGTTGACTTCCCTGTGCAAGTATTGAAATTGGTTTACCTCTGTGAGTGGTTGCATCAATTGCGTGAAGTGACCCACCGGAGCAAGCTTGTGGTTTTCATCAGAAGCCCAGCTTGCTGTGCTAAGTGTGGCCAAACGATACTGTCTGTGTTGCTAGTCAGGCGAACTTCGATATGCAGTGTACAAATCTGTCATTCTACTGAGTCCAATGGTATTGGATTCAAACAACCGCACCTAACAGCTGGTTCAACATTCCATTGCGGCAGCCGAAGTGTAAAATGAAATTCGTTACTTTGGAATTAACTGCGAAGCGAATGGGATCTTCTAATTTCCAGAGTTTTAGAATACTAATCGATTTTCTTTAGGCTTGTATTATGACAACCATTCCTACTTGACTTGAAAAAGCTCGCTTATCGAGTGCGAAACCATGGCACAATACAAGCGTATGAGAAACCGACTTTCTTCCAAAACTTTTAAAAGTATGTAAACCGTAATGTTATATTTGGCGTGAATTTTCCACACTAGACTGGAGTTAGACGAATGTGTTGCTATTCTGCGGCGTAGGTCTTCCTTAGAAATTGATTTTTCATATCGTTTGATCTACGTGACCAATGTTCGGCGCCAGCCTGCTCTATGTTGACTAGGTCGCTACACCTACCCATTAGGTTTTGTAGTGCCGTAGAAGTCACGCGATTCGGCTGCTGAGACTGCACTAATGGAAGTGGATCCCAGGGGAATCACGCTCGAGTCCTCCCTACACAATAATATTTGGGGCGAACTTCGTAAACTATCGCGTAGCTGGCTAAGCGTAAATGCTTTTTGTAACTAGTTGATTTATTGCGTTCCAGTGGATAGCGCGACTGAAATTTACGTCTGTCTGTCACATTGTTTGGTCCGATGAAATTGTCTGATGAATTCGGTGGTCCACTAACAGAATCCCGCTCTAAATTCAGTTCAATGTTTTACTCAAATCTTTCAAGCTTATACAACCGAATATGTCACATCAATGAAATTTCCTGACTGCTACCGATTTCCTATAGTACTACCTAACACCGAGATTTTAGCCATTCGCACAAATCCATGAGTTGTTTCTTCCCTTAACGTTTTTCACTTGTAAATACATGTTTCGAGCATAGCGCTCGAGTAAAGGAACACCGTATAGCTAGTTAACGTAACTAATCTACATCCTTCCCTAAAAGAGTGCCTTGCACATGTGAGCATATTTTTTTACGTGCTTTCATTCAATAGAGAAAAAGGATGAACTGCGTAAGTTGCGCGCTTTATTCATGTATAGGTGACTTTTTTTAACAGCTCACTACGCCCGTTAAACCCATGCAATATCCACCTCGTACATATTAATCCTAATGCTAATTGATGCCCCTAGTCTCACCGCAATTCTTGCAATCTTTTAACCGCCGCATATATTTTCCATTGTTTTTTCCATCAGAGGAATTAAAGAGTAAGTTCTACAATGTAACCCCTGCTTGCATGTTGAATCCAACTCGCTTTCAACTTCCCTTTAAGACCACGCACTCTCTATCTACTCTTTTCGCCAATAGTACTCTTTGCAGGCGAAGTATATTCCCAATCAGGCAATGAAGAAAATTTCATACAACCAATGTGAAAGCAATACAACGTTTGACTGCATATATATATATATATATAGTGTATGCAGCGACGCTGAAGTAATTCTGATAAGAAATAGCTTTAAGGAGACCTATAAATTCCGTTTAGACCATTGCTTTCAAAACGTATAAGTCATATGTACTTATGCAGATCCCACTCGCTATTGCGTAAGGCACACCACACAAACCACAAATATGTGGTTTAGGAACAGCATCTCACACCATCACAATGGCTTCTGAGTGCGCGTAACCCCTGGTCCCCAATCATGTTTTGTTATCAGCTGCGGTTTTTCAACACTGCAGGCGTGAATTGTGTCGCTTTGCTTTTTCCTGTCACTGCGGTTCATAACCGACTTCTTTCATCCTGTTTTGTACTCCTCATTACGGATTGCCTGATGTGGTTTTGGAACTCAGCCATTGTTACTGACGTCGTACACCGAGTTCACTAGTCCAGTGAGTTCCGCGAGCAGCACTTCACTCAGCAGTTTAAAGGTAAATGTTGTGTTGTGCAGCCTCAGCCGTGTGTCTTGGATTGCGGCACAGAACCTCAATTGTGGCGTTGGTTGCCATTCCGTTCACTGATACCGTATAAGTAGGGGAGAGTTTTAGTGTTGCTTCCTCAAATCATGTTTATCCACACCTGAGTTTTTCTTTACTACGATTCTGACGTCATTATTGTTTTTAATTGAATGTCGTTGCATTGAGGCCTTCTGGATAAACGTAGTTAATGGCTAAAGATGTGTTCTAAAGCAACTTTGCTTTTTTATTTGTGCATGCACAGAACAAGAGATAAGTGAGTAACTATTCTATACACAAGCTTTGTTTTCTGCAGTCTGGTTTTTTGTGTCATTCAGGCGATTCTGCTGGTAAACGCTTCTCTTGATCTGCTATTGCCTTAGTTGAAACCTGATAGACGTCATGATTTTTACACTTAAGAGACACATGTTCTTTCACATGTTTTGGATTAAATTTTCTTAATTGCCTCATCTAAAGGCTAATGCGGGTTTGCATTCAGTTTTGTATCATCTGACAGCCTACCGGCGTTGGAATCCTAACTTTATATATCTATACCATCCTATGATGCTAGTCAGTAGATGCTATAGATTAGATATTACAGATGTAATCCAAATAAAGCTTGACCTGAAATCCCGCTCAAGCCCTCTTGGGTATTGCGCTGAGCCTCCTCGTTGAAGCTGCTCTGTTTGCCTGCATTTCAATCAGTTGCCGTAGGTATAGCACTAGCTTTCTTGGCTGCTCGAGAGCTGGTAGTCACTCGGTGCCAACAAGGGCCTGTTTATCATTGCTGCCTGCGCGCTTACAATTATTAATGCTAACTTGTTGGAAGATAAATCCTGTCGTCGACGGAGTGATCACCATCGTCACGCAAAAGTACGGTTACCGTAATGTCGGTTGAATATATGTATTCTCGTGTTGTAAACCTTCCCGCTGACCAAATGAATGTATGAGGGCTAGCAAAATGTAGACTTCCGTGCTCAGCGGTTGCTACACTTGTGGAATTATGTTTGTCTATTTTTAGTGATCGCCAACTTCCGATACAACAGCGATACAAGGTTACATGGCGCCCATCAGCGTTAGGCGAACGATGGAAGCAAATCCAATCCGTCGTGCTTAGTTATAGTTAGGGGGGCTGCGTCGAACATTTTCGATCGATTGGAGCACAAACGTTGACTCAGACCATGCACTTATATGTGCCAACCTGAGTAGGGTTTCTGCTGGCACACGTGACGACGCTCTGACCCCATAGATACTTATCAACCGGCAAAGCCAGATGATGTGAATGTGTACAAAGTAAGACTGCGTCAGAGCCAGTCGTTCACTGGATATTGCTAAAGAGCACTAGTCGAAAGTACACTATACTTTATTTACGATATGGTAAAACCCATTACCAACCTGTATATTCGGTCTCTGCATGCTTCCCGACTCATTCCAGCCGGAAGCGAGCAAAGCGAGACCCTCAATATCAGTGCCAAACGACCCGAAGAGGGACCGCGAATCCGAGTAGTCCTCCCTTGCTTTGGGGATGGAGGTAGCCGTTGCCCTTGGTAATCATCGGAAGAAATCCTCTCTGATAGGAGAAATGGGCCGCTAAGAGTCTTGGTTTCCGCGAAAAGGTATACGACGAAAGTAAGCAGCCTATCCACAACCTGCAAAATGACCACAGCGTTGAGTTAAGCAATGAAAAGCAAGAAACACTAGATTTCGTATCAGACATTGACCGCCCTTTTTCTTGGCCTATACCTTTGCATCTGCACTCATGCTCTGAACTCGGACAAGATATCGAACTTATAGAGTTGAATAAGATCGCAGGATTAGTTGATTTCTCTGTCTTCATTAAATTCCAGGAACCTTCACTTGTGCGTGGTTTTTACAATTTATTGATGTAATTGTGGGGAAGGAAACTGTTCCAACCTACTTCCGTTGCGCCGTTATTGTCTTAATCCTAAAGGGACTCGTGCTCTAGATGAGGCAAACATAGTGGTCTCGGTCTGATCTCCGTCGCCTAAATGGTACTTGATTCTGCCTTTTTCCATAGATCTACCGGCGACAGTGAATGCCAGATATCTTTTACACAGATGCTACATTCACCACATTGCTTTGCTCCGGTATTCGGAACACTATTACTATTGGTAACCACGTCCTCGACATCCTCAACGCAAAGGCTGCCTCGGATTCAGTAGATAGATGAGATTTTTTAGGGCCTGGTTGATGAGCACAGGTCTGCGATAGAAGCATGTCGGGATTTTGAGACCGCCTTACTGGCGCAGAATGAGTGCTTATAGTGAACGTATCACAGAAGTTCAATAATTGCAACAGTATAAATCACCATGAACCTTTTAACTCCCTTATTGACAAAGGTATGGAACCTGTGTTCATCGGACGCAACTTACGTGGAGCTTTTGTTTTCAAATTATTGAATCCACTTTTGGGGTATGCCGAAAATATTTCGCTGACATGTGACAGTTCACATACGTGCTAAATAGCAATTGGTCAGATTAGTGCTGCCTGTTAGCAATCTCGAGTTCTCTTTGCGTCCAATAACTTCGATACTCTCCTCCAGGATTGACAGCGACGACTCCCTGTGATAATCATTGGTGTAGCTCAGCTGGTGGTCTGTCAGCAATTCAACTAATTGGGCAACTATATTAGCGCTGTAAAGTAGGGGATGCAGCGATAGACCGTATAGTGAAAGCTCGGGGCTCTAGATTGCTAACGCTGCTGCTGTTTTTATCCTCCTGTACGATTGCCAGGCCTCGAGCATTTGATCGGCAGACGATGGACGGATCATGAATTTTCCTTACTGCTATCTAATTACATTGTATCGTGTCAAAGTAGCTAAGGTTTCTCTTACCCCTAGTGAACGTGAAGAGTAATAAGAATGACTAGTTAAAGGTACTGCCGTTTTTAGACGTCGCATCTAGGTGCCTCTTATTAAGGTTAATCCCTTAAAACCAACTCCAATACACTCTGAGATACTAGGATACTTGATGTGCGCTTGGATTACCAAGCGCAATGTTCACTGATACTTTGGTTTACTTCTTAGTGTACGTTTAACATTATGATCATTAAACAATGAACAGTGATTTATCACGGATAAAAAGCATTTGCTTAACAAGTCCCGTAGGAGTGCTAATTAAAACTAAAAGGATCAGTGGAAAAGTAAATTGTCACTCTAGGCATCTACCGATTTAACCGCACTTCTGCATAGCGATTATTTGCAATTGGAGTCAAATGTGCACACACAAGACAGTATAGAGAGCAGTTATAGTTCAAGTACTCGTGATAAATGAAGGAAACGGAAATGGCAACGCTCACTCGTGTGCCGCTTCATTTGACCGATGTGATAAGTTAATCCACGCTGGGTACATCCAATCTTTTCACAAGGACACTTAGGCATGCATCCTCACCGCCACGTTTCACAGAGCGTTGCTAAGCACATAGAATGGTTCGCGTTATTTCGTCCTCCAATTGAAGCGGACTATGTCAAGTAATGCAATTGGGGAAGTGTTTCATGCAAACTTTTTGTTAAAAGCTTTATTGTATGCGCAGAGATGAAGTGAGTTGGAAGGGCGTTCCAAGTTCGGGACACCTGGAGGGAGAAAACTTTTTGTCGCCAATCAAGGCGACTGTAGTGCGTGGGCAGTCTGAGCTGGCGCGCTCTCAGTTGGGTATTTCGACTCAGCTGCAACAGCTTGTGACAATGAGGAATTGCATTCCTCAGGAATATGTAAACCGTGATGAGATCTCCTCGCTGTCGCCGGTATTTGCGTTCGTATGGGAAGTGAAATAATCCTCCAAAGAGTTTGGTCCCTTTATGTTGGGAGGTTCAAGTGCGTCGATGTCGCGCTTTTCGCCAGGTCTGGATCGCATTTTCCACGTGGGCCCTCACCTAGGTGTTCAGCATTTGCGAAAAGATTGGTGGTTCAAAAGTTCCGGAAACTCTCCGTAAGTGCCAAATATGTGGACTGGCTCTTTTCAATGCGTTTTCAGCCTATCTTGAGCAGCCAAGGTCATCATGCGCGATCACCCCGAGGTGGAATTCCTGGGAAGCACGTGGCGACGGCTGAGCCTCTGAATTTGATATACCTTGATAAGCTGTTGGCGTATACTCGGAACTTTACA